AGAGAGAGAGAGAGAGAGAGAGAGAGAGAGAGAGAGAGAGAAAATAAAATTACATTCAGTACTATTGTTTTTATAAGTAAACAAGATTGGTGAGATGGGGAGCGATAATCACAAAAAGAACTTCAATAGCAGACTATCTTTCACGGTAAGTCATAACCAACCCAGGGCACTTAAAACTTTGAGACCCATTTCTTTTTAGTTTAGTCTTACAAAGACTAAGAGTTTCATGGCACTTGAAACATATTCAGTGGGCGGTTGGCGGGTACTCTGGTGTGGTTTGCTTCTTCTTTCCTATCAAACATATATCATCCTTATCTCCCCTCCTTCTTTTTTATGTTTGTTACTCTCTTGTAACACCTCTTATCTTCTGGCGCTCATATGACCTTATGCAGATACGAGTGCCGTAAAACATCTACTAAAACTAAAACAAATATAATCAGGTTTTATAAGTGCCGAAGATCAGAGGAATTAATACACAGTAAAATACAAAGAAAAGATGAAAGAGTAAAAAAGGACGACAGATGTTTGATAGGAAAGAAGGACAAAGAATAAAATCAATTTTTGTTTTTTTCCTCTGTCCAGCAACAGATCGCTACCTTAGAATTGCCAAGTTCCATCTGACATTTTTGGCCATTTTCAGCTACTAGGACCATGAGATCAAAAACCAAATGTTGTAACAGCTCTATCAAAATCTTAAAATTATTCGGAGTTGTTGTCAAGATATTCAAAGAATTGCATTCGAAAAAGCTTGGCATGATGTGAAACTCAAAATCTTTGACGGCAAATTTCTCAAAACTTGGCACTGAGCAGATAGAACTTTGTATTTCTAAGGTGGCGAGATAATGCAGGCCCGCCAACCCCTCCATGACCAAAAAATAGGATTTTTCCTCGGAATCCTTCCGAGAAATCAGAGGTTGAGGAAAAAAATCCAGAAAAACAGTACATTCAGATTATTTTACCAACCGATCGTGGCACATAATTACATTATATTCTAAATATATGCAGATAAACGCAAATAAAATTTTTTATTTTTATTTCATTTACAAATGGATGAGCAAATACTGCAAATAAAACTGTACCTTTTCACGATAAGTTGCCAAATACTGGTGGAAACGGAATTCAAGTAAAAATTGGAATACATGCAAATCTAATCTAGGTTCATCCTTAGGTAAAATTTCTAAAAAATTGGAGGTCTCCAACTTTAACTCAGAGCACATGACCTGTCTGGTACTGCTTAATAGACAACTCGCTACCCTAGAATTACAAAGTTCTGTCAGCTCAGTACCTAGTTTTGAGAAAATTGATGTAAAAAAATCAAGAGTACTACAACATGGAAAGCTTTTTCGAATGCAATTCTTTTAGTTAGTTTTAACTAGCTTTTACAGCACTCGCAACTGCATAAGGTTATATGAACGCCAAGGGGTGGATGTCTACAGAGAAGTCCAAACGGGGAATCAGGCTTACTCGGCTCACCTTTCTAGCCTCAACAGCACAAAGTCTGCTATGACTATCAAGGCACCCCGGAAATAGAGGGTCACAAGAGAGTGGAAAACATATAAAAGAAGTAGAGGAAAAATGATAATAGTAAGGATGAGGGGGAAAAAAGCAGCAGTTCCCCCAATGTTGTTTCAGCACAGTATCGGCATGAAATTGATAAATCAGCCCATTTACAATTCTACTGCGCATAGAGCATGTTAACATCCCCCCTTTGGGAATGACCTAAAAAGAATTTCAGTCAGTAGCACTGCCCTGGTTGGGGGGATGCAAGGCTTCAAATATTTTGATAAAGCTTCTGGATATCTTTTCTGAACTCAAGGTCAGAGCAACGCAAAGCTGTTAAAAATGTCAGACTGAACTTCGTAAATCTCAGGTAGCGAATACCTATCAACTGTGGGAATCATCACATCTATATTGGCTTCAGCTATAAACTTTAGATAGTAACTGACTAAGAATGTGTTTCATGTGTACTATACAAGCATATATAAGGGATTGTCTTACCTTTCGTCGTAGAGAAATGACTGATGAATGTCAAGGTCACCTTTGTCAGCTTCCCTCCGTCTATCCCTGTCTTTGAAGTCATGTGACCGCTTGGAGCCTCGTCTGTTGCTATCCTGTTAGAAATTTCTTTCATGATAGTACTGAAACATCGATCTGGGATATGGTTTGGGAGAAGCCAGTACGGCACTTGCAACATAAAAATAGATCAAATATGTGCCAACAAAAGCCCATTTATACATACTTGAAAGTCATTTAAGAGGTGGACTGGGGAGTCCTCCCCATACATCCATCAGCAATAAAAAATAATGTACACATACTGTCTTAAAGTTCCAAGGATGAACCACAGCACTTGAACACATCTTAGATCAGAGGTTTCAAACTCAATCACCGAGGGGGCATACTCAAGTAACACTTCCGTTTGCAGACTGAACTGAATAAAAACTCATTAAGCAGTAAAAAAAATAAAACTATTTTTATTAAAATGGATAAAAGTAAAAATAATAATCAGTCAAGGCATAACAATTTTCACTCTAATGCCAATATCTAGCAACTTTTCTTGACAACTGGTTCCTTCATTTTCTGTGTTATGGAGAAAATATCGGGATGGAATTTCTAAAATTCTATTTCAGACCAGATGTAATTGTGTCATGACGCGGTGGAATCAGGCGCTCGTCAGTTTTTGGGCGGGTGGAGTTATTGGTATCACATGAAAGCTGAATTATTTGCTTTGCTTCTACTGAAATAAATATCCATTTATCTTGAATAGAACTCAAGAAAACATTTGCGATTGAAGGAAGTGAAGTCGCCTGGTTTCAGTGGTGAAATTAGCGAGTAAATGGTCGCCAAAGTTTTTTAAACTCCAATAGCTAAAAAGTCTTTGAAAACTGAAAGATTACATATTTTGTGCTTTTAATCAATGTTTTTTAGGAAAATTCACTTGGAAATGTGTTTTTAAATGGACACAATACAGGTTAAGCTAAAAAATAAAAATTCAATAAAAATTTCAAAACTGACGGAAAAATGCATGTTTCTCATATTTCGTTCTTTTGACTTGCGCTTCAGTTCACCACGCTGCCTCACAATTGTTTGACCAACTGGATGCCGCCAGCAGGTCTTCAGTTTCTATATTACAAGCAGAAGGCATGAGTTCATTTCTCATGTGAGGAAATGTTCTTCTTTTTTTTTATAGTGTTTCCATTTATCTGCATCCTAAAAGATATTTAAATAATGCCCATGTGGGTGTAAAATATTTATATCAACAAAAAGGTAACTACTCCTCACCTGCCCATCGCTGTCCTCCTCGGGCGGCTCCTGACCTCGTATCTTGTAAAACTGTTGCCACATATCGCTCTCTTCCTTCATCTGAAAAGAAATCAAAAGTTTTTTGTTGGTTTTTTTTTATTGAAAAGGAAAAAAATAGGAGCATAACCTAAAACTACAAAAAAATAAAATATAAATGAATTACATTCTTATTGATCCCAGAAGGGAAATTTGGTTTACAATGGCAAACATCCATCTATCCATCCATATATATT